AAAAACTAAGAAATAAAGTACTGAAAGGAAACGGAACCTAAGAGTGTAATAATACACTTTTTCTAATACTAATGCCTTTATTTATTTTTTTTTATTATTTTAGGAACATTTAATATTACAATTCGCAAAGGTTTGACATATCTATTACGTATCGTCAATGCCGCATTGCAAGACGTGCTCTTCCTCTCTATAGCTGACCACAATGTCACTGTGGTCGCATCTGACGCTAGCTATCTCAAGCCATTCTCGTCAAGCGTCGTAGCAATATCTCCTGGCCAAACCATTGATGTGCTTTTGGAAGCTAACCAAAGTCCCAACCACTATTACATGGCTGCCAGAGTCTACACTGGCGTTAGTGCGGCTGGTAATACCGACAATACCACTACCACAGCCATCATAAAATATAGTGGGAAGTATACTCCATCTTCATCGCCGATATTCCCTTCTCTTCCTGACTATAATGATACAACATCATTTCTTAACTTTACCAATAGTTTCCGGAGCTTAGCTGACAAAAAACATCCAATTCATGTTCCAAAAGTAGTCAACGTAAGCTTGGACTATTTATTTTTAGTGAACCTTGGATTTTCGACACGAGTGTCTAGCGTCAACAATGTTAGCTTCGTTAATCCAGCCATTGATATATTACAAGCTTATTATTATGGCATCAATGGGGTGTATGAGACATCATTTCCTAACACTACTCTACAAATACTGACACATGAGACACAGGTGAAGGTACTTGACTACAATTCCATAGTGGAGATTGTTTTTCGGACTACTGACCTTGCAGGCAGCTCCCATCCGATACATCTTCATGGATATAGTTTTTATGTCGTGGGATCGGGTACAGGGACTTTCGATAATGAGACGGATCCCTCAACGTATAATTTGGTTGATCCTCCTTTTCAAAATACTATTGCTGTTCCTGTACAGGGCTGGACCACCATTAGATTCAAAGCTAATAATCCTGGTATGTGTCACATTATTATTATTATTATTATTATTTTTTTATGAATTCGGCTTTCTGATTCAAACTAAAAAAAAAAAAAATGCAGTTCGAATATGAAATTAGGGGATGATATCATTAATGAATTTAAATAGAAAAAAATTCATTAAGGATATATAATAGTAATTTTATAGTTTAAATTATATTTTTTTTAGTGTGTACTTTACACTAAAAACACATTTTTAATTTTTTATTATTTAAAAATATGTGTTACCTCAATCATTTCTCTAACAACCTTTTTTCTTTTTTTCTTTTCTCCCCCAAATAGGGGTGTGGTTTATGCATTGCCATTTTGATAGACATATGGTGTGGGGCATGGATACGGTGTTCATAGTCAAGAATGGAAATTCTACAACTGGAAAATTGTCGCCACCACCCCCCGATATGCCTCCGTGTTAAGATTATCTCTGGATATTATGTTGAAGGTTGTCAATTGTTTGCGTTTAAGATTACTACTTGTGAATTTGGCAATGGAGTTAATTGTATAAAAAAAATTTATTTCTGACGTGTCAGTATTAGTTTTTAGTTTTCTTTATAAGGATATCTATGTTAAATGTATTAGAAATAAATCTGTGGTTTGTATGTCAGTGTCTAATAAATAATAATGGCAACCAAATTATTATATTATTGTTGATTAGTCTTAATGAAAAAGTAATTTTTAATAAAATTTTTAGTACTTTTATAAATAATTTGTTTTTGATAAGATAAAAAAAAATAATGTGGTGTATGAAAAGTAAGCATGATACCACGTGACCATTATATATATATGTATATATAAAAAAAAAACTATGAAGATGAAATTGTCTGATTTGGGGTACAATTGGAAGGGAATAAAATATGGGGACATTTTTATGAAACTGTAGCGATATATAGTATAAAATGGTATTTACATAAGAAAATAAATAAATGATTTTACTATTTTTAAATTTAGATCCAAAGGCATAGATACAGCCACGTTGGCCGCCCATATTAAGTTCAGGTGATCAACAACGCAGCCAACCACGACCACGTAAACCCAACAAAAACCCTGAATTCCCAAATCGCCTTTTCTTCTTCGCGCGCAAAAAACCAGAAACACTAGCTGCCTCCATACAGGGGATGCCATGGTGCAATTGAAATGAATCTAGAGCCTCATGGATATGGAAACAGATCTTAGGGAACGAGAAACGAGGAAGAATGTCAGATCCAGAGGGGACACTATTAGGCAGCACCTTGTACCCTTCCGCAGGGCGTTGGCCCTCCGACTTCTTCAACAGATCGTCAATACGCTTCCCAAAAATGCAATTTTTCTCATGGATTTTGGAATTCTTCACCTGAATTTTTTTTCTATCTTGCTTTCTTGCAATGTCTCTGCTACAGCTAATCCTGCGTCCATTAAATATTTTCAATTTTCAATGTCTGTGGAGAAGGTACGCTTAATAGTTTATCAACTGCATCCAGGCTGTTTTCCACCATTGTCTTGTTAATTGTCATTTTTTGTCAAATTTCTGGTTCGAGTATTTTCTTTTGGAAAGTAGAAGACTTGATAACGAGAACTGTATGCTTCTTCAATCTTCATGTCGATTCATCATATTATATAAACTACTTACTATCATGATTCTTGAATTATTCAATTGGTTCTCTTTAATATCTATAATTTTTTTTGGTCCACAGGTCATACAGAAGCTGTACTTCCTATTCCCTTCAGTCCTGAGGGGTGACATTTAGCGAGTGGTTCTGGTGATACCACTGTCTGACTGTGGGACCTAAATACTCAGATGCTAATGTTCACATGGACAGGTAGGAAGGATTTCTCTGCGTTCTTAGCCTGTCCTAAACACAATGAAGATGTGCAGGCAACGAACAAACAAAGAAGAAATAGAATTATGCAAACTAAATATGATGAAGGACATGCTGTTGTTGAAACTTTATTGGATAATTTTTCTTTGTATTCCTTCCTGTCCCTTATTAATCATGGACCTAAGGACCTCTGAATTTTATTCAGGACACAAGAATTGGGATCTTTGTATTGCACTTGGGGATGCTAAAAGTAATAGAATATTTTTCTTTGTTTCAGTTAGTAGTCTCACCATTTAACGTCTGAGACTGGTGTTTTGATCTATTTTTAGGGTCACAAAAAATGGATGACTGGTTATGCTCGTATAGGGGACATTTCATTAAGGAGATGTGTTATTTGTCTCAGTGGGCACACTCTTGCAGTAACTTGTGAAATGGGGCTGTGACGGAGTAATATATAAAGGGTATGCATTTTATTTAATTATGCTTTAATGAAACTTGATCCTTCATAAGGAGAGGGCTTCTGTAGTCCTATTTGCCCATAGGATTTTGACTTGACACAGTTTCTGCTTTCGAAATTTACCCGTTTATCACTTAAATCTTTGGTGAGCTGGCTGCAGCTCCCAGGATTGTACAATTAAAGTCTGGGAAACTACTCAGGGGTAGCTAATTTGTGAATTGAAGGTAACCCTTTTTACATCCTTTACAGTGTCACCCAAATGTTGCTTATATTTGCTTTAACTTATTGCACTTTTGCACAATTATTCATGTGGTCAGCCAGATTTTATTTTTTCGATCCATAACTGTGCCTCTTTAGTTGCTGGTGTTGTTTGTAGTCTCTTGCATATTTAAAGATCTTTGCAATCATCTTTGTGGTGCATGGCCAATTTTTTTTTT